TTAAGTTCAGATTTTTTAATAAATATGCATAAAATATGTACATATTTTTATTATAAAAAGTACTTACAAATATTTATTTGCCAATTTAATAAATAAATAGATAATGATTCATAAGTTGGACATAGATCAAGACCATTTTTAATGATTATGTGAAAGCCAAATTGACATAAATATTGAGTCGATTAACTTCTAGATCCCTTCTAATGTTTAATCTAACTCTAACACCACAAATCAATCATAATCCATTCTCGCGTAAGAGTTATGACATAAGACAATTTACAATTTTCAGTAGACAAATTTTTAGGTTTACAAAATAAGAAAAAAATTAGTATATTAACAAATGTAATTACTATTATCATATGGTAAATTAAAATTATGAAACTAATAAAATGAAATATACTTATATTTTATCGTAAATATAACTTTTGTAATTTATTTTTTAATTTTTACTAATTAAATTATGACATGTATTTTTTATTAAGAATCTAGAACACACAATTGTTGATATCAGAATAAAAACTCTCTTATGTGTAACTTTGATAAAAATAAATAAAATTTAATTGATTATAAATCATTTTACTACATATTTAGATAAATTTTATATTATTATTTAAATTTAAAAACTATTTTTTGTTTATTTATTTATACTTGTGCGTACGTGTAATAAGCTAGACAAAATGTGACAGTATGTGTAACGCCCTCAAAATATTATACAAATCAATCATTCATAAAGTCTATAAGCATAGTAGAAATATTATATTTTCGTTCATCAGAGTCTTCTTTACAAAAAGTATTACGTACAAAACATGTTCATAAATGTTCATAACTGATAACAAGTAAATAATGTCCTACGGGCTTACAGCTTTCCAAGTTATCACTTGGTTACAACAAAAGAAGAGTTCTAACTCTTTTACATATAAATCCTTCGGCTTGAAATTTTACATTAAACACCAAACAAAATATACAAAGTGGAGCCTTCAACCCCTAAGCCTCCCAAGCTATGTCCTTGAAGGTGGCATGTCACCTGTACCTAAAAATGGTGTCCCAAGTAGGGTGAGCCAAAGCCCAATAGAGATATGCTAAACCATATATGAGAAATAACTATGACATAAGCATCAGATAAATGTGAGATATTTCTTAACCGACACATATTATTTCCGTGACCATTCAATACATATAACCATATCTCAATTCATTTCCAATCATCCATTTCGGGTAAATCTATTTACCAAATTCATAGTTATCAAAACAACCAAAATGAGATTTCAACTCAATGGTTCACAATTCAATGCATTCATCAATCCAACACTTCTATTTCTTGCCATTTTACGGAACCCATACATCAAGGATTTTAATTCTTTCTAAAAATGATATTGATTGTAGGTGAGACAGCTGAAATGGCAAAAATAGGCTATAAAACAAACCTATGAAACAGCCGAAGGGCGTCTACGAACAATATTACTACCAGGCATAAACAGCTTTCTCAAGCTCTCATTCCACTTCTTCGGCTCTCTGGTTCTGCAAGAATTGGTTAATGTCTTATCCAGTTTGGGTGCAACTAAAGGGTAAAGAAATTCCCTCAAAGGCTGGTTAAAACTGCTGCTATAAATTTAGCCCGTGACATATAACTAAATGTTTTTATTGCAGAATGTTACAAATGAATGGGGCAAGGATGGTACTAAGTTGATGTTAATGGACTCACATAAAGAAAGTAGATGAAGGTAGTGAGTTGGGTATTTACAAGGATGCTAAAGAGGGATTTATTAAAGGCTGGTCCTGTTCTCTCCTAACTTGTGTTGTCTCCAAGCAGCTATTAATGGCTTACACAAGGTTTTTAGCCTAAAAAATTACCCAAATTTGATAAAATTCAGTTATCTACCTTTTGTTAAAACAACATGAGCTTTTAATAGTGCGGACAACTACACGCATGAACAAGGTGCAAAGGTCCTGTAAAGCTAGGTTTTGACAGTTGGTGATGCGCCTTCTGGCCTGTTCTTTCTTTCAGAGGGAAAAAACGACTTTTAGTATCTACTTAGTGTTGAAATTGCCTATGACCAACTAGGATAGCTCTATTTGATGAGATGCATGTATCATCAACCTTCTTAAGAATAAACAGTCCCCAAATTTCTGATTTTTTTACAACGAACTTCGAATTACAAGCATGTGTTGTATTTTTTGAAGAGAAAAAAAAAAAGCTCCATTTTTTGAGGTATTGAAATAATAATAAATAACTCCCTTTGAAGCATGTGATGGATACAACATTCTTTCTTGCATTCTCTAACACATAATCACATGAATGATAAAAACCTTCACAGAAATTGGTAATACTTTAGAAAAGAGATGCTCACGCTATATAATTTCCCACTCAGTGCTTGAGAACCAATGTGTATGTGTATCTATTTGTCTAAAATTATCAACGATAAACAACTTACACTACAGGAAATCAGGGAATTTAACGGCGTTTAATTAACGGCGTTTTTTAAACGTCACTTTTTTTATTTTTAAACGACGTTTTTATAACCGTCGCATATTTGTTTAACCAAAACGGCACCGTTTTGTATTTAAAGGCGTTTAAAACCGCCTCCGAATGCCGTACATACACGCGCCCCTTTTTTGAAACCTTATTTTTTAATCTGAGCCCTCTCTTTCTTATACTTCTCTTATCTTATATGCAGACTTTCTCTCTCAGCGACGAAGAAGACGGTGGAGATAACTCCACGAGAAGCTTCGTCTCTTGAAACATAAATCTTCTGTTCTTGAAGGAGCTTCAAAGAACACAAGCTCCCCCGGTTGTTTAAGAGCGATTTCGAAGTGATTTCGAAGATTCAGATCGACATCAATCAGTCTGTTCAGAGCGTTTCGGAAGCTCCATCGCCACCGTCATCTGCACACGGTGGAGGTAGCCAGCTCCACTATTCTTCTCTCTCTCTAGATCTCTCTCTCTCTAGATTCTCTCTCTCTCTAGATCTCATCCTGATTGTACCTTTATAATGAGTTATCCTTTGTTATACTGTTCTTATTTATGTTTTCTCCCTGCATCTGAAATGTGTAATCTGTAGAGTTACAGAATCGGTCTAGAATGTTTTGTAATGATTTTTAAAATTGGAATAGTTTGTCATGTGCCATTTGTTGCGAAAAAATGACTAATGCTTAGTAATTTCTTCTTGCATTTACAGAAAATGTTTTCTTTGTCTCTTCTAGGTCTTGATTGGGGTAAAAGTTCCTTCGTCATGGCCTTTCCTTGGCCTTTGAGAGTATGCAAATCACTGATTGGAGATCATCATTTTCATTTAGAATCATCAATTGCAATGTTTAGTAGTTTCAGGAGCTGAAAACAATATTTTCCAGCATTGGATTCTAATGGCTTTATTTTCACTCTTGATTTTTGAATTTAAGATAATTTGCCTTTATTTTCATTCTATAAGATTCAGAGTCTTTTCTGGAACCATTTCTCTTTAACCTCCCTAGCAGTGTGTAGCTTTTTATACACCAGTTCTACATGGTTGTGCATCTGTTTTGGTGTCTTTAAAGACAAACATTACTTTGATTATCTGGAAAATTAGATGCTCCTAGTTGTTATGCTTTATTTTGTACTTTTACTCGCTTACGATATTTTCTTTAGCAGCCTGTGAGTTCCCTATTCTGGAGCCCCTTCTCACTTCAGCAGCTTGTCCTTTATTTTCACTTTGTCCGATATGCATTTTGTTGCAGGTTTCATGAGTCTTATCTGAATTTTAGAAACCCTTGCCTTGCTCTTCTCTAAAGACCAGTAAACATGAAAGGAAGAAAATCTTGCTATTGCTAATGTTGGGAGGAGCCTACTGTTAAAATGACACGAGCTCGAGCTGGCTGCTTGTCATGGCATTTGGAGGGATTCCACCTTCAGAAGCACTGAAGCAGCAAGGTCAAAAGCAGGTTTTACGGACAAGTTCAAAAGGGCAGCTTTAGATGAGATGAATAGCAGTGCTTCTGCTGCTGCACCTGTTCAGCATAAGAGGAGGGCAGTGCTTAAGGATGTCACAAATGTTTGTTGTGAAAATTCCTATAAAACTGCCTCATTGCAGCTAAAATTCCGGTTGTACACTACCCTTTTGTGAATTTATATATTAATGTAAGAAAATTGTTGTAAATTGAAAGAAAATTAAATAAGAAAGTATGTTTGTTCCTCATTAACAGAGATAAAAAATGGCTGCTTTAATGCACAAAAAAAAAATGAATGTTGATCGTTGATAGTATTTTGATTGCCCGAGCATATAAAAGCATTACCAAAAATTGGGATAGTTGAGTTGAGGGCATTTTTGAGTATAGAGAAGACTAAATTGGTTATTGAACTTTCTGGTCATTGACAGCAATAACTAGAACAGAGTCAAAAGTTCATCGTGACCATGAACTTTCCCACTCAAATATCTGAATTTATAGTTAGATTTGCTGGATGGCTTGGGACTTTCTGCTACAAATGTTATTAATTTTTCTTTTCTAAAATCGTAACATGACCTCTGTTAATCATGCTGATTTTCAGAAAAAGAATAGCAGCAGGCCAATAAAGGTTCAGTGAATGTTTCCAAGGTTGCCCCCAGTGTAGCAGTCCAAGTGCACCAGCTTCCAGCTGATTCAAAAACAACATTGCTCAAGAAACTGGCAAATACAGAACTTTGTGGTTTTATGTGTTCTAATCGCCTTCCAAGGTCATGCATGCTTGATGCTGAGAAAGAAATGATGTCCCAGTGTGTTGCCTTGCTTGGGAATTCATTGCTGTTCGTGAGCCAATATTCAATATCTTGGTTTGGTAAGTTACGGGAACACAACAGTTCTTATCTCATTGATGCAACTTATGTTCAAAGCATGCCAAGTTGTAGTATGCAAATGTCAGAATTTGGAAGGTTTGATCTGGTTGTTTTCATCGGTTGCTGATTTATGGATTGATCTGATGTAGGAGATCCGGATGTTGATGGTCTCAGATGTTCAGGACATTATTAAAGGTATCAATTACAGATCATTCACCTCCTTGAAGGATCCAGATATCAGGTTAGTTTAAGTGCTTTTAGTTTTTTTGGAATACTTTATGCTTCTTCACCACGAGGCACAATGATCGGTTACATGGTAAACAAAAACAAAAGAGAGACTCAGAGAGGGAGAGTGCTTAAAACTTGATTTCTTTCAACTTTCTGTTTATCTCTGCTATTGAATCCTATTTTCATTGTACCTATGTATAGGTGTTGTCAAACCTGGAAACTGTAGAAACATGCTGAAACACTTAATAGTGAATATAGACTTTAAATTGTATTTATAAATTTCTGCAGAGTAAGTACATCATGCATAATAAAACCGTCCTGATATAGTTACAAAAAATGAATCTAATTGTATTTGGTTGATTGTGGATGCCTGAGACTTGGGTATTAAACTTGAAGGCCAAGATTTTGAGATTTCACCTCAAGTTGCTTTTGTATGCTAACAAGTGTTACACTTATCTGAATTTTTATCTTTATCATTACTTTTATAACTTCAGATGTTCCGTTAATATGAAAATGTTCCTATTCATCTATTTTCTTCCATTACAAAGAGATATATTTCATCCCTTCTATTAATTTTTTCTACTGCATTTATTTTATGGTTTCTAAGCTCATAAAACTCGGCACATATTTGTGTATGTTTTCATCACTTGTCATTACAATAAATGAATGATTGGAGCACCATGGCATTTTGGCAACATGACCTGCACAAATTTGTAGCTTTTGGTGCACATGATTTCCTACCCTAGTGGGAAGGGTATCTTGATTCCATCACAGTTTTTTCAAGGTGATCTCATTTCTAATACATTCAGGCATATCATTCTATGTTTAGTTATTTCATATTCTCTCCATTTGATGCTAGGGGAAAAAAATATAATTATGTTTTTTATTAATTTCGGTTGGATACCAGTGTTTTTTTTAGTTGTAGCTTATCTGCTGTTAAGATAACTGCTCTGCTTATTGTTGTAAATATGTCTAACTTGTTTTCTCTTGTTTTTTTTGGTGACAGGCGAGAAAATTTTCATTTCCACTGTGGCCTTGTATATGTTTTCAAAACCAGGGTATGTCTATCATTATCATGTGAATTTAGATTGATGCTTGAATTCTATTCTTATTCAAATCTTGTTACATACTGCATTGGCTGTGCATATATTGGTTAAATTTCTGTTGTTGTACAAGTCATTTGTGGCAACAACGGGAGGCTGTTGTCACCATTTGATATCTAGAGCAGAGAGAACACCTTGAATTTTCTGTTACAATCTCTCATTGGAAATAGTTGTGTACTTACCAATTTCAGATATATGCTTTTTAGAGCTGGAGTTCCTCGGCATGCCATTATTAAAAGTTGGAGGGTAAGAAATATCACAACTTGAGGATCTGATTTCTGTACTTATCCAATTTTGTTGCAGTTCTTGCTTCTCAGCAAAGCCTTAGAAGACCCCAATTGGTTCCAGGTAGTATACAATCTTGAACTCTAAACCTTCCAGTCTATACTGTGCAGCAGCTTTTCATTCTGTGAGATTCCATTTAAAGTTGACATTTGTTTGTTATACATTAGTGTCGGCATTTTCTGTGCATTTGATAGATGAGTTATGCACATGCATTAAGTAAAAGTTTAATTGTGTCCTCTTTAATATGCTAGACCAAAATTACCAAGTTCAGATCATCCTGATAATTGAATTAAATCATTCCTGATTTATCTTGCAAGTGTCCTTAAGAATTGGACTAGTTCGACGAACACCATTATGTTATGCAAGTGTCAACTATTTATGGTTTGATGCCAATATTTGTCAATCTATTGAGTGATCAGTAGTTATTTATTTGGTTTAGACATGTATTTGGAATAGAGTAGTACTAGTAGAAGTCAAAATCTGCTTTGTGGAACTAGAGATTGCAAATGGTTCTAGCTAATTTTAAGATAATTTGATTACAGATTCTACCATTATGAAAAGCAACTTCTCATGGTAAGGAATAAAGATAAGCTTTAAGGTACAAATATATTATGTGAGAGCTACTTGTATCATGTGAGAAAGTTATAAACATTTAAACAATTAACAAATAATGGACCACAAGTAGATAATTCTCTATCCTTCTTTTTTTTTGGTAACAAAGATAAGATTAATTAAAAAAGTAAGATGCATTTTATATAGGCTGTCTTGTGAAGTTAATCATACGGTATAGGTAGCATTTATGCTTATAAGCTCTTAAAAAAAATGGCCAGAGACTACAATGGAGTTGACTTCCTATTGTGCGAATCAGTTAATATGGTGATATCAGTTCGTATTGAACCTTTGTGATTCAATGCTGGAAGAAATTGGAGGAGAACAACCACCACTGGTGTCATAAAATGTAATTGCCTTATATGTTAAAACAGGATGTGGATTTTTTAGAAAAAAAAAGAAAAGATATACTGCTCTCTAGCTATAATCGACTTCCATTCAATTAGCTGGAGCATTAATGCATGCAATCGAAGTCTAAATATTCTTCAATACTGAACTAAATATTGACTATGAGACCTTTATACATGTTTGAGTACAATCAACACTAGGTTTCTTATAACATGTTG